CCTGGGAGACCTGCCAGGGAAGGGACGGCCCGGCCGCGGGATCGAGGGCACCGAGGTGAGGGCTGGAGCGCCCGGGGTGCACACCTTTCCACCAGCGCCAACACTGTGCTGGGCAAAATGTGGGGCTGGACCCGCCAAGCTGGGGAGCCGGGCAGCTGGGGAGAGCTGGGACAGGAACGGGCCCGGGTGGCTTCTGGACGCGGGCTGCCACGGGCAGAAGCGGGGTTTGGACCTCAAGGCTGGAGTCTGGCGCCTTGGGTTCAGGCCTCTCTGCTGAAATCCAAAGTTTTGGTTTTTGAAACAAGGCAGGTGAGGTGATTAAAAGATACTAATTTATAACAGCTAAAGGTCATTTTTTGTTTATTTTTTTTAAGAGAAAAATCCCTCCTGTCAATGTTTCATGGCCAGAAACTACCCTTGGCTGCTGCTGCTGCTGTGTCCTTTCCAGGCAAATCCCGCAGCCATGCACCCGGCTCCACCAAAACCACTGAGGTTTTCTTTGCTAAGAAGACTCCATGGCTCCCCAAATTCCCCCCAAGTCCCCGTGCTCCCAGCCTCCCGCCCACGGGGACCAGAAGAAACCCTGTTCTCAGCACTAGAAGAATATTTGGAACAGCGAGGGCACGCTGCTGCCTTCTCAGGGATCTTCTTGTGAAGTGTCTGAGAGGCCACCGTGGCTGGAGCGCTGGCTGGGCAGCCAGGGACCAAGGTGAGGAAGGACTGTTGGCAAGAAGAGGCATCAAAACCCCCAAATGGGGAGGAAAGTTCATGAGGAAATACACTTGCCTGTGAGGGTGAGGCTGGCGCTGGGAGGGTGAAAAGGGACTAAGCTTTCTTATAGCTAGTTTAGCTGTAACAGTAGCTCTAGCTCTTTCCTTGGGGGAAAAGCCGGTGCTCTCTGTATGTGGCTGTTGGTTTCCTCGAACTGTGCACACTTTTGTACAGAACCGGCTGGAGAGCCCTCCCTTAGATATTTATTCTGCTCACTAGTACTGAAGCAACAATAAAAGGTGCCTTTAACAAACCTCTATTCCCTCTCTTGTTCTTTCTAGTGAAACTATATTATTTATGAGTCTTTAACTGGGTCAAAAATGCGCCAGAACTGGGTCATAAATCAAATGAAATGCTGACAAGTAATTGAACAGCAATTAAAGCTTACATTTTATTTCTAAGGGGTGTTTTAGAGCACTTGAAACAGCCTCAGTTAAACATGTTACTGCCGAGGCTGGCAGAGGGGGAGGGTGGAGCAGCCCTTCCATTCTAGGGAATAAATCCCACTCAAGTAGGGTAAGCTTCATTTGAATTTTTTTAAGTAGAAAGAAAAAATAAGATTTTTTTTTAAAAAAAAAGTCACGGGGCAAACTGGCTTCCTGACTGTTGGTAGGCACCCCTTTCTTCTGCTCTGAGAGCTCTGGGAGGGGAGGAAAGCAAAGTTTCCCTCACCTTTTCCTGGAGTTTCCATCTCTCCCAGGAGCGCTGGGTCCCCAAAGCCCAATTAGCTAGGGCTTTCCCAGTAATTTGGAAGCACACAGTTTCGCTCTCATCTGCCTCCATTCTGGCTGCAGCACCATTTCTGGGGCTCGGAGGCCAGAGAAAAGTCTGCCTCTGCTTCCTGCGGACTCTGCCTCCGGACTCGCTCCAGCCCACAGTGCCGGCCAGGCCTCCCACTCTCCGGACCACCCTCATTCCCAAGCCCAAACCCAGCTCAGGCTCCCTCTTCCCTCTGTCTCCCCAACATTCAAATAACAGAGCTCTTGGGCACCCAGCACGCTGGCCACCCCAAGCCTCTCCTAAATCCGAGCTGTCCTTCTCCACCCCTACCGGGCAGAGGGTGTGCGGAGAAACAAAGGCGTGTCCTGGGATCCAGCTCCTTCCATCCCGTGTGTGAGAAATCACATTCTGCAACCCAGCACTGAACAAAGTGGCCTGAAGCATCATCAATAAAATGGCAGCGCATCTGCACACTCATTGATTTCCTTCTCCCAGCTGCTCCTGCTGCCCTGGTCAGCCCTAGCCCACCATCCCTCACCGGCAAACAGCAGCAATGGGGGAGCAGCGATTCTCTTTCTCCTTCACTCAGCGTCCACCCCCTCCAGGCAGTGTCGCCTGGGAGAGCAGCGCTGGCCACCTTAACCTGCGCGGGCACTTCGGGACCCTCCCTCCGCCTGGGGCTCCGCTCCGGGTCTCAAGCCCCGCTGTAGTGGACAAAGCCACACTAGCACTGGAGGCTACCGGGCCCACCAATTAGCACCCAAGTGCCCCTTCCTTTACACCCCCCAACACTTTTCAGGGAATTAAACTCAGTCTGAGGCGCTACTGGGGATCTTTCAAATGGTTTCGGTTCTAAAGGAGAAACAAAGGAAGAGATGGGCTGAGGGTCCTGTCCCTGACCAGGGTCTCCTCGCCTGACCTTTGTCTCTCACAGCCATAACTCACTCTGGATATGAACAATCAACGGAAATACCTTAAAATAAATTCCATCCTCCTGGCGTGGCCTCGAGTCCCATCGGCTAGCTGGCCCAGAGCCGCTCCATGAGTGCTGAAAACTGCAACCCGCTAGGAGAGCACTCTCCGGAGAAGGGGAAGGAGAGGAGGGGGGGGGGGGGGGGGGGGGGGGGGGGGAGCCTCTCTGTAGAGAATCTAGAAAACGTAATCACAGGCGAAGCCGCCCGGGTCTCAGCTCCAAATGCCACAATAATGTGCTGTATTATGTGCTCACGTGGTCATACGTCAACTTAAATCCTTTTATTTGAAATAGGGAATCACTGAAGGAACTAGGTTTCCAAGCAGCACATTTAGCTTTGGGGGAGGGGAGTAGGGGGACCGTGACCAGCAGTAGGGAAGAGTTTTGTCTAGGGCAGTTAGTTGCTGGGGGCATCTGCCCCCCCTCCCAACATGTGCCACACAAGGCCAGTTATCTCTTTTATATTTCTTTGCACTTGATACAAACATAAGAAAACAGCAATACTGTCCCCATTCTTAGAGACAATGTAACTTTCCTTACAGTTTTCCACTCACAGACCTGCCGAACCCAGCACACCCAAGCAGTCTCGCCTCTCTGGCCAGTACATCAAAAGTCAAGGCCCAGGCCCTGTTTCCAGAAGAAAACCCAGTAATGGTTGGCCTAGTCAGTTGACTCTCTCATGGCCTGCCATTGTATGGAATGTGCTAACACCCACGCCTTACACCACAGCCACTGTAGAAATGCAAAAGGCCCATAATTACCTGACAAAAGGCTAAAGTCCAGTTGCTTTTGTTCTGTTGGATGGGAGCCCCGTAGGAAATAGGTACTTGGCTCTAGAGTGGTGGGTGGGTCAGAGTTTTGTAGAATCTGGAAGGACCCAGTGCCGGGGCCAAACCTGAACTTACACTTTTCCTCAGTGCATAGTGGAATGATACATAAAATTATAGGCTTCTAATGATGAAAAACGTAAGAAGAAAGGATCTAATTGTCTTTGCAAGAAGAGAAAAAAAAATTCCTAGCATCCCTTGAATTAACTAACCTACTGCAAGGTAATCTGGGACCCTTTCTGTTCACCCTCCCCTAAGACAACTCTGTCCACCAGCAGAAAATGAACTGGACCAACTCTCCTCTGGAGTAACCTGGCTGAAATAAATAAGACCACACACACACACACACACACACACACACACACACAGGCACTCCTGCCTTCTGCTTGGTGACAGTCTCCACTGATTTCAACATTTCACCCTCTCAGGAGCTAGCTAAAAACATCCTCTTTTTGGATCTTAGTTTCTGAACTTGGGAATGCTCTGAGGTGGAGAGATCCTCATGTTATATTCTTTTGTTCCTGGAGAGCGGGTCTTCGGTTAGCTAGGCCTCTCTAAGCATGAGGACAAACTTGTAGCAGCTGCAGGAGGCTGTGCATGATTCTTCCCGCCCCTCCCCTCCTGGCCTGCAGGGGAACAGAGAGGCCTAGTGAGATTGTAAGGGCCTCAGGAAGGGGGCCTGCTCTTGAGGGTATCCAAATCAGAATGGCAATAAAAGGAGGAGACCTCACACGCCTTGGAAGGGAGCCTGCCCTAAGCTGGTGGCAGTATCAGTATTCCTATGAGGTTCAGCCTGTAGTATAGCTAGGAGAGAACCTCTATGTCACCTTTCCAAGTTCTGACCTAAGCCACAAAATGGAAAGTATGCATCTAACATGAAAACCTGCTCTCTCAGGTTTGGGGGTGGTGAACAGGACCAAAAGCTGGTTTCCACAAAGCACTCCCCAAGGACTCAGACCAGAAACACACTGTCCTCTGCTCCTCTTGCCCACCACCCCCAAATATTTTACACTGAGCTCTCCTGATAGCCTAGAAAGAACCTGGAAGTATTGCCTAGTTGTTGGTAAACTCCACTCTCCCCAACCAAAGTTTCTGCAGGGGCTTCAACTCACTGATGAGAAGGGGCCCCCTTCAGAACTTGCAGAACCGTCTGGAGCAAACTGAAATTCCCAAGGCCATAAATCAATGGGAGAAGTGTTTGGTGGTGCTTCAGAGAAATGCCTTAACACCAGCAAGGCCCAGAGGCATCTCAGCTCCAGCCAGGAGCCTCCATGCCGCTATTAACAGCCCAGTTAATGCTCCAACTGCTGTTTAACAATTAACATTACTGACCTGGGGTAGGATACAGTGATTTTGTGGGTTATAAAGGAACATATCTGAGGAAGTCTCAGGAAATTTAACTTTTGAGGTGAAAACAGCTTCCTCAAGAGAGAGCTTGGGCTGGGCAAGCCACCAGAGAACCCGCAGCTGAGAGTCCTCCTTCCCCACTCTGAAATCTGCTTTCCTGGAGCAAGGCTATGGGCCATTTAAACTCCCATTCCAGAGACCAAGAGCGAAGATGCTCAAGTATCTAGGCACAGGCTAGGAGGTCCAGCTGCCAGTACCGCTCCATTCACTCTCTCAGCCCCTAACCTGGCAAGCCTGGGCTGGGGACACATGCCCTGGATCCAGGCCACCAGAGCCAAAATAGGCAGAAAGTTGTCTAGGAAGGAGCAGGTGACTCAGGATGCAGAGCTTTAGTCAATATTTGCAAGGCTGTTGGCAGATTAGATATATCTGTGTTCAAACACTGCAATCTGATTTCTCTGTCAAAAATACACTTAACATGTTTCTCCCCTTAGTTAACTCTAGTGGTTTTTCTACTCAGCGTCAGGTTAGGCCCTCTTAGCTCACTTTTCTTTGGTGGTGGTTATAGATCATTATTTAACATGAGATAGTTCCTGTGGGTGCAACTGCACTACAGATGGGCCCCAAGTTCTCTGGACACACACGAATGTGTATATCACTTTATACACATGGTCTCAAACTCCTGCAACTGTTTATACACGCAATGATAGTGTTGTGTGCAGAGATGCAAATCAAATGTTCACACTGAGTGGCAAATTCCTGAAATGCTCTGTCTATACTTGATATAAATAGACATACAGTAGCTGAGAAAGTAACTCAACTTTACTATTGCTCTGTTTACTTCCTAGCTAATAAAATAAGAATTGTATCTAAAACACCATATCAGCCGTAGAGCATCTCCAACAGCGTGTTGCAATAAATTAGCAACCTAGTCTCTATTTGGGGAGAAAATTTTAGGAAAGACTGAGGCCTAGGGAATAGAAAACAAAATCTCAGAAAACTTTTTAAAACAAGTAATTCCTCAAAGAACAAAGCAAACCCATTCCTTCATACCAAGCTTCGGGAAGCTATTCCAGCAGCCCCTCCCCCAAATAGGCACGAAATTTATGGATCTTTTACAAGGTAATAAACCACAGTAATTACCTCCCTGCATCCCAAACTAAGAGAACAAATTAAGCCAGAACTGGAAAAGAATTTTAAAGAGTTTTCCCTTGTTCCAAAGAGGAAAATAAAACGCTGAGATAGAAAACCTGTGCTTTTCCTGTAGGAAGAACAGCGGGTCCGCCTGGCTAAAGGAACCTGCGACAGACTATACTTTGGAAATACAGCAACTTCCCTCTCGCCAAGGAAAAGCAAAAGGACCAGAGACACTGCGAGGCGGTGAGCCCAGCTTCCTCCATGCAGAGCTGGATTAACCACGATTTCCGAACTCACAGTCTCCGCAGGCGCCGCCAACAGCGGACAAGTAGAGCGGCCCACGCAGCGGCCACCGCCTCCGTGGCCTCTCCTGGCTTTTGCCCTGCTGTTCCATGTAGCGATTTGTTTGGAACTTGCTGGAAGAAACAAATACATCCTTCTCACACCCCCGCCCCCCAAGCACATACATCTTTGGTCTCTGCGACCCACCGCGCTTTCTGCAGAACGCCGGCTTTTGCGGGCTCTTTGTCTGCCTGCAGCCTTGCATTCGCGGAACTTGCCGCTGCAAAGAACCCAGCTCCAAAACTCCTCCGAAGTTAAATACTGACCAGAGCCTCTTTCCCAGGGCTGCAGCTGCCTGGGAGAGCAAACTCCCGCCAACGGCCCGGTGCAAAGCCCCAAGCGGCGACGAGTGTGGGCGCAGCGCTTACCTCCAAAGATATTTAAGACTGAACCCCGAATTGTCTCCAACTCCGGAGCGCTCAGGGAATCGCCTTTTCCGGTGTCCGGGCGCTCTGCGGATAAATAAACAGCAGAGGGTGAACGGTGGCTGCGAAGGAAGGGAGTCGGAGGACCGGAGTTGGAAGCGCGGCCGTTCCGGGCGCCAGGGTGGCCCCCGGGGTGACGCGGACACGGAGGAGTCGCCAGGGCATTCGTCCATGCGGCACACTCATTGCTCGAAAGGTCCCCGTCTACAAATGGCCTGAAGATGGTGATTTATTTTTGTAAAATAAATACATACTCCATCTCCGCACCCACACTCTTCCTTTTCTTTCTTTATATAGGGGGCGGGCAGGGGGAAGGGGGAAGAAAATGGACGAGGCGGAGCGAGATGGGAAGGTGGAAGGGGCTTTGCCGGGGGAGCCTGCTCTGCTCCGAGAGCTCCTCACGCACCTCAACTTGGGGAATGTGAATGCGCGCTTTATTTTCTTTTGCTAACAAAGGGAAGCCTTGTCTGGGAGCGTTCAATCACAGACTCTCCCGAAACCTCGCTAATAGTGTTCATTTCTGTTTGGCGCGAAATCAAACTCCAGCTCAGCCCATAGGCCACAGGCAGCCTTGAGAGGTTTTGTATTTTGGTTCATTCAAGCCCTGGGCGCGTCACTTCTCTGCCCCAGTGGGCTGCCCAGTCCCTCACAGCAGGCCAGCTATGGCTGCTGGAAATAGGGGGAAACTGGGAAGGATGTGGGCTGGGACAATACCCAATCGAGGGGCCCTATCCAGCCTCACCTTGCACAGTGGGGACAAGCTCCTAGATGCCCTAATTCTGCTACCACCTTGACCCTCAAGATATCTGCAACCCCTCTCTTGCTCTCTAGCTGGCAAAAGGTCAGCCAGCTTGAGGGGTGTGGGGAAGACGCTGGGGAAGAGGCGAGAATCGTCCCAGTCAATGAGCTCCGGCTTGGAGAACTTCTCCGCTGGGCTGGCACTCTGCCAAGTGGATTGCTTCCCCAGCCCTGTCCCTGCCCCACTGCCCCTTCACCCAAACCCCATAGCCTCCCACACTCTGGCCTGCCCCAAACCAGCCCTCAGTGGCTGTCTGGCATCCATGCAATCCTGCTGATAGTACCAGGAGCAGCTACCAAGTACCTGACAGGTCCCCTGACCCCCACCCAGGCTTCCCAGCCCCCGAGCACACTGAACAAGTGGCCGCACACCTGAAGCTGGCTGCCCTCAGCCACCGCCGCCCTCCACCAGGCACTGGGGACTCAGAACCCATGCTGGGCCCCCTTCTCTTGTTCAAACTCGCCCTCTGTGTCTCCAAAGGCAGTGCCCCTGTGGCCTTGGAGCTCCTGGCATGACCCTGAGTGAGGTGGAGCTTAGCCATACAGCACGTTGCCACTCAACTTCATCCCAGAAAGATCTGCTATGCCGCCATCTGCCAAGCCACCCCCACTCGGCAACGCTTAGGGGTATTGTAATTATTATGGTTATTATTATTGTTGCTATTTCCTTATCCCCAAGTCAAATATTCATGGCTGCTGTTCCCCATAAATCGTTCAGGCTAATGAGTCACAAAGAGATGTTGCCCAGGTCTCTCCCTCGCAATGGCCGCCGCCGCTGCTGTGGCCTCTCTCCGTGGTGTTTTTGGCGCTCGCTTGCTCCCTCGCTCGCTAGCCCCGGCGCGGGTGATTTATGAACACCGGGAAAATTGAACAAAGCCGCGCGCCTGTCCTGTGGTATCTCTGCAGCCTTCCCCGGTGTGAATCAGAACATTACCAACTGTCTGCGCATCCGTCCCACTTCATCACCAAAGCCAGGCTACGACCGCAGAAAACCCGAGCTCCAACTCACATTTCCCCGGCCGCGGTGCACTCCCAGGACTCGCAGAAACCCTGCAGAAAGAGCTCCCAGACCCAGCATGGGCCCGCCAGCTGGGTCCTCCCCGTGAAGGGCTCTCGCAGACCCTCCTGAAGGAGTTAAAAGCCTTTAGAAATAAATCTGACGGTGTGTGTTTAAAAAAATCAAATAGGAAGTTGGGGGTCTTACTTCTGAGAGAGTCATTCCTAGTGAGGCCCTGCTGACTCCATCCATTCTTGACGATCGGCATTAATTATTTAATGAGTCACGTGACCCCCCATGATTACAATTTCAATTTCTCCCTGGAACAGACCCTACACCTTTATCTGCTGCCACCAGGGTCCTTGGCTGGCTTTTTAGTTCCCAGACCTCCAGAATGCAGACCCGCTTGCGCAGCTCTGGGGCAAGGGAACCCCCATGGAAATTCCAGGGCAAGCATAGCAGAATGGGTCAGTCTGGAACTATGAGAATTGTAGACAGTGGAGTGTCCACTGCTCTCCCAGGCATCCTGACCCTGACATCTGTCACCTCCTGAGCTCAGAGGTCAGCCCACCTATCTCAGCACCCTTCTAACCTGGAGAAGCACACCTGTGGCCCTTCATGTCCAGTGTGAACCCAGACTCATTGGCCTTCTGCCAAGGAAAGATGCCTGTGCACTTACCCCTATCCAAGGTGGGACCAAATCTATGACTCATTAACATAAAGAAAAATGGGAGGGGGAGCATTTAGCTGCCTCAGTTTCCTCATCATCAGTAAACTAAGATGGGACCAAAATGGCCTCCAGATCTCTTTTTCCTAAGATATTCTTTCAATCTGGGATCTCTTTTATCCCCAGAAATCAATTCCAGAGAGACTGGGGCTGACCTGAAAGGGGGCGGGGGTTACTCCATAGGTTTGGGGCCTTGAGAATAAGACTTGACAGAGTTCCAAGACAGAAATTTCAGATGAGAATATTTCACAACAGCCCCGGCAGCCACCTAGGTGCTATCAGAGTTAGAGCACAGGTCTGTCTTCTTCCTCCTATTTTTTCCAGCCCATACTCTTTGAGAGAAGAAGCATCGTTAGACTTGGGTCCGTATATAATACAGAGAGGAGCAACCATATGGGGCAGGGGTTGGGCAGGGTGAGCCTGTGCGCTCCAATAGAGGACCTCACCTGGGCTAGGGATGCAGAGAGTGTCACGAACAGCTTTTTGCTTGCACAGAATCCACTCATTCAAATGGGAAGCCCCAGGTCTCTGTTTGCTACATTGATTCTGTGAGTTTTTTCTTTCTTTCCATTCTAAAGAATGGTTGATCTGTTTCCATGTTAAACTGCTGGAGGGAAGGCAGTGGTGGGTGAGAACAACACAGTTTGGTAGCTTAGGGAAGCAGGGAGAGAGAGGAGGAGGCTCGGTGATACCCACCCCCATGGGGAGGGGCTGAGAGGTGGGGGAGGATGTGGACACCCCGTGACAACTGAATATAAAGTCAGAGATGCTGTGCAGAGGGCCCACTCCCCATATATCTAGGTAATCTTCCCATGAGCTCCATCCTGGGTATTAAGTACTCTACTCTGCCTGTCACAGTTGAATCCCTGCTGTAATAAAACACCGGGTATATCGTAGATTTCAGCAAAACTAGGAAAGAGAGCCTGCAAAGTGCCATTTTTCTTCAGGGGGGAGACTCTTAAGTACTTAATTCAAACTGTGACCATTAAAGTGTCTCCTATCCGATTTAGGTTGATTTCAGATGTTGACAAAACTTTCATCTCTCCAGAGTCATGCACAGCTTGGCTATGTGACTAAAGCAGATGAGTGTGTGTTAGAGGGAAGGAGAGAGAAAGAGAGAAAGGAAAGAAGAGGAGAGCCTGTGTAAGGGTCATTTTGGCAGAAGTATAGAGCTCACACAAAATACTACTGTCTTTAAAGGTCAAGGGTTTGAGGGGCCAATAGAGTTTGCTTTAAAAAAAACAACAATTAATGAGATAGAAAATTTGTCCTCTGGGTGAACTCTATGGTTGCCCTAGCAAAGGGCAGACAATGCACGATTTTGAAGCACAAAGTGGGATTTTCTAAGCTGTTATAACAAGCTCCTTTAAAAGACCAAATCTGAAACAGGCAAAACACTAAAGAAATGGCACAATCCTCTGGATTATTTGGGAGCACTTTGACTTAGTAAAACTTACCAATACCTTAATAATCAACACAGTTTGGGTAAAAATTCCATTTTGCACTGGAATATAAACACACACACACACACACACACACACACACACACATCTCCATCCTTTCTCTTCATTACCCCTTTTAGCCCCATACAACTGCCTCTAGTATGTAGCTAATTAATGCTCTCATTCCCTTCCTCTACTACAAAGGAGAAATATAAGAATTTACCTTAATTGATGACAATCTGCCATGTGAGGTTTTGCAGCTTGACACTCAATTTCCACCAAGAGTCTAGGCATTTTTGAGCAGACAGGCAAGATGCTGCGTCTTTGCCCGAGACCACGTTATTTGCAAGAAGATCCCTTGCTTCTCCACAGACTTTTCCCAGAGAATGCCTTTCAGAATTGCTGTTGAATTACAAAGAAGTATTTATTGTATGAGGTGATTAATGATTCCTGGGAAAATTGCTATTTTCAGCGTGATTTAATTTCGTTTTACAAGTGTGTGTAGTAGAGGAAGGGTTAATAAGTCTCAGCAGCAGATGCAGTGACTCTAGAGATCCCTGGCACTCATTCACACCTTATAAAATGCACTTTATGCCAGGTTTGGCCTGTCTGGGGTAGGCGGGCACTTGTTTGCCCCTGAGTTTTCTTGGGGAGAGATGGAGACCCCTCTGAAACTGGGATTCATCCCTTCACTCTCAGATCTGGTTTGTTCATAGGTAGACAGCAGCTCGCCTCTGCCTGTAGTACACACAGGCAGTAGAGTAACAGCACTGACCACTGGCCCAGGGTTCACCACTGAGGGGAAAATGTGTTTAAAACTCCTCCGTTATTGCAGAGGTAGGTGAGCGCCCCCTCCCATCTCTGCTAAAATTATTACATGAACTAAACATTGCCCTCAGTCAAGGCCAAGTGACAATTCTAATATTCTGGGGCTAGTGTGTGTTGTTGTGGTTTTTTTTGTATCTTGTCCCTTCAGTGACAACCAAGTCCAAATTCTCTTGACTGATTAGTAAATCAGTAAACAAGTGCTAGAGTTATGGAGATTGTGAAGCAGATTTTATTTTTAACCTTTTAAATCTAGGTCTCTAGGTTGGGCAGAAAAATCTGGGAGCATTTGAGGCAAGTGACCCTAGTTCAGAGTTTGGCTTTCTTCCAGTGTTGAATACTCCCAGGTCTACCTTGCTGTGGGGTGCAATTTAGGGTGTCATTAAGCTTTTTATTTCCTCAGAAGAAACTCTGGAGGGTATACTGGGAAAATCCAGTTTACTTTAAAATTTCTTGCTTCAAAAAAGAAAGAACGTAAGAAAGAAGCAAACAAATAAGAATTCCCAAGCTATGGTTAGCGAAGAGAGCCTTCAAAACAGCAAAGAAACAAAAAGCAACCTCAACCCTTTACACAAACTATTTTTCATCTCCAGGGAAACAGGCAGATGAAGTGCGAAGGTGCCATAAATACCAGAGGGACCACTGCTTTCCAAGTGTGCTCAGAGTTCAGCCAGCAGAGCAGCTGCAGCAACTCCTGGGCCCGCAGCACTGCACGGTTTCACCTTTCATTGCCCAGAAGGACACGTTTCTGTGCCGTACAGAGACTTGAAGCCTGACAGCCGGGCCAAGTTTGGGAAGAAGAAGGAGCCCTCTCAGAGCTCAAGAGCCTTCATGCCCTTTGGAGCTTTTCCCACCGTGGGTCAAACTTGACAAGAGTTCAGCTCAAGTTGAACACACTCACACACATTACATGAGCAGTCAGAATCCCAGTGAACACAACTCAAGCCGTCTACAAGATTTCCTCCTGGGCAAGGTCAAGCACTTCAATTCAGAGCACTTTTTTTTAAATTAAAAGTAGGAAACACACAAATGTGTTTTAGAACTTTAATGTTTTTTGAAACAGAGTTTATTCTCAGCAAGGCCTTCTATATAGCCATACCACAGTGTGTACAGTTGGACATGGGTCTAAATGCACTCCCCTCTCCCCGAAGATTGTGCCTCAGAATAAGACAACAATATCTCTACAACAATATTTTAAATAAATTCAAGGAAGGGAAACTATTGTGTCACATCTACCATCGAGGTCTATACATTTGGAGAATTAAATAATCCTGTGAGGTCCACAATGTCTACTCACGTAGTATTCAGTTCAAGACAAGCTTGTATGAGCTGCCTTAATGAGGGAGGGGAGACAAGGAAGGTAGGAAAGGGTCTGTTTTCTTCTGTTTGCAACAAATATACACACACAGGTCCTTCCCACCGTCTCAAAAGTATGTGATGCCAAGTGGTCCTTCTCAGGTACCCGACCCTGGCAGCCTTCCTTAGGCCAGCAGGTTGCTCAACCAGCCAGCATCCTGGCCACTGGCCTCTCTTGGGTGGCAACCAGCACACACTCTTACCAGGAGAAGGTCCTCTTCTTTTTATTACACTTTTCATCAAGTTGGGTTTTGTTTTGGGGTCTGTTCTGGTCCCGACAGATGGACAGACAGGGAGGGGTGGATGGGGAAAGGGGCAGAAGAGAGGAGAAACGGGTCTAGATCTCCAGGAGATTATATGGAGGAGGGGATGGGCGTGGAGGCACCCTGGTGGGGGTGCGGGTGCGGGTGCGGGTGGGGGCTCTGAGTCTGTGCTTTCCCCGGCGGGCCAGCGGAGGAGGAGGCCGAGGCCGAGTTGGAGGACCGCATCTTAGTGTTGGGCAGTTTGTGATCTTTCTTCCACTTCATCCTCCGGTTCTGAAACCAGATCTTGACCTGCCGCTCGGACAGGCAGAGCGCGTGGGCGATCTCGATGCGGCGGCGCCGGGTCAGGTAGCGGTTAAAGTGGAACTCCTTCTCCAGCTCCAGCCCCTGCTGCCGGGGGGAGGGGCCGGGGGCCTGCCGCTCGGACAGGCAGAGCGCGTGGGCGATCTCGATGCGGCGGCGCCGGGTCAGGTAGCGGTTAAAGTGGAACTCCTTCTCCAGCTCCAGCACCTGCTGCCGGGTGTAGGCGGTCCGGGAGCGCTTGGGCTCCCCTCCGTGATACCCGGGGTTCACTGAGAGCCCAGAACCCCGAGGGGGGAGCCAGCCGAGGCGGAGGGAGTGGAAGGAGCGGGGAAGGAGGAGGAGAGAGAAGGTGGGGTGGGGAAGAGCAAGGGGACATCATCATTATATAATAACCTGACACCAAGTTCACGCAAGATACATAAAACGGCACCGAAAGTGTTTCACGGGCTATTGACCACGGGGGACACCCGGGAGCCATTGGAACGGAGCTGGGCCTCGGGGCTGCGGAAAAGCTTCAAAGACACATGGCCCGGAGCCGCTGCCAGGGCCGCGGAATTTATGGGGGCGGTAATTGCGGCCCTAGCCGTGCGGCGTCTCGTAAATCTCCCCATAAAGGGGCCCCGGGTACAAAAGGGTTCCCACACTGGGCCCCGGCTGCGGGCGCGCGCACCGCACCCA